GGGCCATCGGTTGGGTGCGGTTCTGGACAGCACTCGTCGGTCTCTATCTCCCAGTTTCGTTGGTCTGCCGACTCGGGGCACATTCCGACAATTACCGCTCACCCTCCACTTCTTAATCACATAGGCCACTGTCGATTTTGGGTACTTCAGGTCGCTAAATATGTCCCTTAAGGATCGGCCACATTTGTGATACCCGATAATTATACCTTTCTCGAAATCAGAGAGCTCCGAACTGGGAGGCATCTTGCATGCGACTAAAGCCGATGCTGTTTCCTACACGATATATACCGGAGTCCGTGACGTACCTTAGGACCGCAGATATCGTAATTTGCATAGGTGTCCAAATACTTATTGGTAGTCAGTATATAAGCTAGTCTGAAAAGTCATGTCTCATTTTTTCTATGTTCTTCAAAGGTCCTTTATTTATATAAAGAACAATGACCAGTTAATGTACGTTTTGTTTGATAACTGTTTTCTTGTAATGAGCTTCGTAATTCCTCATTCACAAAAGAACCTAGCTTTATCGGTGAAAAGATGAATAAGGTGTTGATTTACGGCTTCATTTGAATTGAATATTGTACCATGAAAGAAGTTTTGAAGACAGCGAAACAAATGAAAGTCCGAGCGTACAGGATCAGGTGAATATGAAAGTTGTGGCAATACTTTTCCTCCAAACTCTAATAATTTTTTTCAGGGGATCAAACTTGTGTGTGGTCTTGTTTTCAAGCTCCTACTAACGAGCCTACAAATCAGTTAAAATGTGTGTCTCTAACTGGACAGTTTCAATGAATTTGTCCCATTAATCGTATAGGAACTGCTTTTCTATCCCGATAACGTGATACTACACACAAGTTTGATCCCCTGACTAAAGTTATTGCAGTTTGGATGAAAAGCGTTGCCACGAGCATTATAGTCTCCTGATCTTGAACCCTCAGATTTTCACTTGTTTTGCTCCCTTCATAATTCCTTTCATGATATAGCATTCAATTTAAATGAAGCCGCACATTGTTCAGCTTTCCGCCAAGGAATCTAGGCTCTTTTGCGAATGAGGAATTACGAAGCTCATTAAAAGAAAGCAAAACAGTTATCGAACATAACGGGCAATATACTATTGGCTGATGTTCTTTATATAAATACAGGATTTTCGAAGAACATTGAAAAAATGCGTCATGACTTCTCAAACAGTATATATTTAACCTTCCACATTTATCGGAAATTTTTCTAACCAGTGAAACTTTTCTAAAGTAGTTCCAGATAATTTTGCTCTGAAAAGTGGTCACTTTAGAGAATATTGTAGAGTCATTAGGATTTTTTGAATCCGGAAACGTAAAAAATGTGCAGTGCCTTCGCAAGCACTCGAACCCGGACCTCTCGAATAAGCGCCGAGTGTGCTACCGTTACACCATAAAGGCATGCAGAAAGGAAGGGAAAAATACTTTACTTACACCCTCTTTTAAAAGGCGACTGGAAATTAGGGAACCCAATCACCAAATCTTGGTGGTGAAGAATCATCATCCACCACCTTTCAATTCGGGCGCTACTGTAGAATCATTAGGTGTCTTTTTATGTGAGAGACGTGAAAATGAGCAATGCCTTTTCCGGACTCGAACCTGGACCTCTCGAATACGCGCCGAGTGTGCTACCATTACACCATGAAGGCATGCAGAAAGGAGGAAGTAAATACCTTATAATATGGCTGTACATCATATCCAACGGAATTCAGAGTTGTACGATTATATCAATGAATTAGCGTTCACACTATGAGTTAATTGGTGATCTGCGATTCCTCACATGCTAAGGAGAACTAGCCTTGTCTTTTATTCTCCTTGAGCTAATTGTAACTAATTACTTTGTTGTGAACTTGTATTTATTTCAGTAAAACGTTTATTCCTGCTCATCTGGCATAGTTATTAAAGAAATCTTCACTAAGACATATCTCGCAACAATATATTATTTTCATTTATGTGGACAGCATATTTATCATATCAGTCATGGTTTTCCAGTTATATTAGATTTCATGCGTTATTTAGTATGACATTCAAGGCTCAAGCATGCTCAAAACGTTTTCCAATATAAATTAATAATAATACTTCTTCGCTTAACGCTATTTTGACTTATGGAAAGTCACAAGAACAGTCAATGCTAGAAAAGTGTGTGAACTATATGTTAATTTTGTCTTGCATTTAGTTAGTTGGTATTCATTGTATTGCATAAATTGCGAATATTTACATGAATTTAAAAAAGTAAATGAAATTCTTAATCAGTTAGGTCTTCATTTTGTTCTTTTAGTAAAATATCTAATTGTGTACATTAAAATACATTTATTTACAACTAATAAAATTATAAATATTGACATTCTTGTAATTAATAAAAGATGTTCCTAATGTTTCTATTACATGCTTGGTAAAATATCTTTTTCTTTCACAGTTATACGGCTTAAATAATTGAAAAGACTAAAGCTTTGTATAGCTGTTGTTTAGAATTATATTTTTTTAAAAATAATTTCTTTATTTCACCAGCATTTAAATCTCATCGCATATCAAAATTTTAAATATCGCACTATTGGTGTTATGTCTGTTGTCTTTAATCGCAGTATTCATATATTCTATTAATGACACAAGTCAACACATTTTTAAATTTAAGATTATAATTACATTTACAATACCGATACAACCACCAGCGACGTAGCTGTGAAATTGCTGAACAGCGGTAGTTACACCTGAGTTCAGTTCCAGGCAAACGGGCTTGCTGTAAGGGCGTTTTCGGGGTTTTTTTATGTGTAACGTGGATATGATCCAGTTTCCTTTAGAAAGTCCTCCAAGAAAGCATCCCTCAGATAGCCATCGCTTGCTTTGCCATAATCAAATAAATCAAACCGATATAATGTAACAACTCCATTGCATATGCATAAGCCATTTTTAACATAAGCCATTTTTAATAATAATTTTTGTTCAAATATAAATATGAAAACAATTTCTTGCTACAATAAAAAAAAAATATTTTTGGAACGTGAAATAGAAATTCCATAACTATTTTGCATACAGTGTCAATAATATGTATTAAATGAAAAAAAAATTCTGAAAGCTTTCAAATTTTATATTACGCCCGAAGGGGCGCTTTTTAAACGTTTTGTGATTTACCTTTATTTATTAAATGTTATGTTCTTCGCATTTAAACCATAAAATTCTATTCAACGGCAATATTACAAAATATTTAAAAACAGCAAAACAGCACATCTTTAGAATTTCCGTTACACAATCTCGCACACTGGAGATGAAAATACCTTTTTTTCGTACAGTGTTGCCATTATTCGCTTTGAAATAGTTGAGTTTGTTAATCAAAAGTTTTACAAAATATGTTGGTGTATTTAACTATGGCAAAGCCCACTAGGGCTATCTGCCTAAGGGGAGGGATGCCTTCGTGGAGGACTTTGTCAGAGAAACTGGCTCGTATGCACGTTACACATGGGGAAACCACGAAAACACCCATGCAGCCACCCCGTTCGCGGGATTCGAACCTCGGACCGAACTACCAGTGTTCAGCGACTTCTATAACGACTTCTATAACCGCTCGGCCGCTGGTGGGCTCTTTACAAAATATGAAATAAATAGTAAAGCAAATTCCAAATTCCAATTTGGTCTTTTAGATGCTGATATTCGAGTGACTATGTTATTTAAAATTTGGTGTCTCTAGGTATCGTTGTCTTTTCACATTGCGAAAAATATACATACATTCACGCTGATTCTTCATTATTTAATTTCTTTAAATATATAGCAGGGCTGTAATACTTGGTGCCAACAATTTCAAAAGTGAAACGCCGTTTTATAGCGGACGAGCAAAATGCCAAACCGAAAGTAATAGCTCTTCTGGGAAAATTGCCTCTTTAGGCTAATAATAAATATCACAGCAAACTCCGTAGATGTAGTAAACTCTCCAAGCATATATTTTTAATTAAAAAAAAAAAAGATTTGTGAACATGAGAGTGGCAACAAGTAACTCGGGTATACATTTAATTCTGCAGTTTATATTGAATTTATGAATCATTATTTTGAGTTATTGTACATGAAACAGGGAAATCTATTATTTTTTTTTTAAATTTTGATAGTTTCCCTATGTTAAAATTTTGCGTTGCTTACAATTGTACCCACCTGTTATAAAAAGAAAGCGGAATAATTTCCCGAAGTAATTATCATGAACAAGGGTTTCATTAGAGATGTTCTGATGATTTATGAAAATTATTAACGATATTTTACACCTCCCCCCTTCTAAAACAAATATTAACTTCCGTAAATATTTCTGAGATACTTTCGATTACATACTATGGAGTTAACAAGTAAAAGTTAGTTTACTTCTTACCTCCATGGTAAGTAATTTTAACAGACCTTTAAAACAGACCTTAAAAAAACAGACCTTAAAAATGGAAGCACACCCCCCCCAAAAAAAAAAAAAAAAAAATTCATGGTGTCACTAATTCTCAGATTTCTGTGCATTCTGAATACATATATCAGAGTTACGAAAATCGCCATGTGTGTTTTGCTACTTGCATGACTGTTATCAACTTTCTGGTTGGAATCGGGTTTTATAGAACAATGTGCGATCTTCTATTATTATTATACCTATGGAAAAATCATTGTTTTTTAAAAAAAATATATAATATGCCTCTTTCTCTGACTTTACGAAATTAAGATCATGTATGATTACTCTAACTTATGAATGAATTATATGACTTAATAAAAGAATTAGATAATTCTTTACGCAAAAGTTACCTATTAACAATATGCTAAAAAGCAAAGTCATTACTCAAGATCTGTTCTATAACTACCGTAAAAAAACAAGAAAGAAATTAAAATTTATAGGCTATTAATATTTTACTATGACTTAACGTTAATAATTCACTATAATATTCGAAATAGCTTACCTTAATTAGCATACTGAAATTCTAGCCACCACTGACGTCGACAAAAGGTATATAAGCAAAAGATGAAACCGCAACTGTTACTTCAAATCCCTTAAGGTAAGTTTGCTTTATAAATTCTGTTTTCTGATCTAGTTATAATAATACTTTTTTAGCATTACGTTGTAATCTTTTTAACAGGCTATTCGTATAGAATTATGAGCTGAAAGCTACGTAATAATTTTAAATGTACTTCAGAATATTATGAGTTTCTTATATTCTTTCGTGAATGCTTGCGATTCATTTATTTTGTTATTTATCTGAAATTTTATCGAAAGATATTTTCAGTATAGTTAAAAGATAATACTTGAAATTTATTCATAAAACAAATTAAGTTTCTTCGGGACGTAACATCCTTTGCTGCTAAAAATTATAATTTCTCCTAGTTCATTTATGTCTAGACTCTTGTTAAACGTAACTTAATTTCTACGCCGTTTAGAATTAAAATGCATACATATATTCATAAGGCTCGTAATTTGACTCTTATTTTAAGAAATAAATTTAGAGTTCTGAACTCACTAATATAGCTTTAATACTCTTCCAGATGGACAGATTGGTCTCGTATTCGCTTATCTACTTCACTTTGTTGTGGCTGCTGGTTTCAGCTCAAACTGAGGATTCCTCGGATTCCACCTCAACGACAGTAAAACCTGATCCCGTGGCTGGCTTCTTTTCAGAACTTGGCAGTCTTTTCTTGGATATCGATGAAACATTTAACAAACAGACGACTCCAAAAGTTAATTTTGAAGAAACCTTAGTTCAACAGATAATTAATGAAAATCGGAGACGGAGGTCTGAGTACTTTAATAGAATACGGGAAAACTATAGAAGTCTTCAAAAAAGGATGAGCTCTGCGATAACAGAAAGGCCCTTAGATCTTCTTAAATCTCCTGAGGTGTTTGGTTTGAATGTTCATAGTAAGGGGCCTAAAAGCTTTGTCGATATTTCTTTACCTTTTTTGCCCATGAAAATGTCATTAAAATCAGAATTCCCACCTAAAAAGGAAAAGTCAAAAGATGAAGAAACTTTAAGCTCTACAGATGAAACACCTGCAATTCCCGAAGCTAGATCAAAATCTGATGACTTTGAAGGGAAGATTGAAGTAATGGATACGAATATCAAAGTGGAAAAGAAAGGCGATGATACTACTGTAAATGTATCGCAAAAAAGATTGCCTCTCGAAAGTTTAGGTAGTGCAATTAAGCATGTGGTTTTTCAAATACCAAAGAACCAAGCTCAGGAACAGTTACATAAGCTTGTCCCCACAGAAGATGACCTCAGAAGAGCAATGGAAAAATTACTTAATGACTCGAAACGTACTAATGAACTTCTAAATTCTTTAACGGACTCGAGCGAGACGCCACAACACTTGGCATCTAGATCAGGAATAACTGCAACGGAAGAGTTCGAAAATGAACCTAAAGGCAGGATATTGGGAGACCTGCTGTTTTCTGAAGCAGAGTTTGATAAACGCATGAAAGAAGTTCTGAGACGTTCTAAATGGTTAATTGACCCACCTTCGTTGTTTCATCGTGGAGACAGAATACCGAAGACTGAGAATTCTGAAATATCGGGAAATGGAAAAAATGGACAGGAAGTATTGAGAAGAATATCTGAAATTCATAAAGACGCTGTAACTGAATACTATGTTTCTCCAACTTCTGGAGCTCTTTTACATAATCGAAAGTCTCTTACCGAACCGCAAACCGTTTATTACTACGATACTTTTAAAAGGCAAGGGGACCTGTTTACTGAAGGCTATGGGCAGGAGAATTTAAACGAGGCACCAGAATCTAACGGCGAATCGGGAGACTTATCAAAAGCTTCTGAAACTATGGCAGAAACTTTGATTCCTTTGACTTCTACATCTCAACCTCTTCCTCCAATGGTTACTGATAAACCGTTTTCTCCTTATCTCAATCGTCCTGATTCTATTGAATCATCAGATTCTAATGACAAACTGTCCGTGCTTCCTGTGACTCCAACAAATGGTCTGAAGATTACTGATGAACCGCTGTCTCGTTATCGTCGTCATCCTACCGAAGCACCAGAAACTAGTGACAAAGAAACTTTCGACTCTGCTGAAGTTCCTGACGATGACGTTACTGACGATTATGATGAAGTTACTGAAGAGGACGTTACCGACAATTATGAAGTTACTGGAGAGGACGTTACTGAAGTTACTGACGAGGAGGACGATATGGATATTATATTGGCCTTTACACCTGAAGGTTTAGCCATAAAATTGGAAATAAGTTATGAAATAGAAGAGCCCCTTAAACGTCTTCACGAAGTTTTAAAGGAATCAAATCTAACTTTAAACTTCCCGATAGATTCGGAAAATGATCTTGAACCAGTTGGCGATGATATTGTTCAACTTGGCATTGCAACTGATCGTCCTTTCTTTTTTCGTATTGTTATATCCAAAGATGACACAATGGAATCTGTTGTGAAGTCTCTAAAAGAACTCAAAGATACGAATTTTCCAGAAACCTAATACTACAGGTAAAATCCCTTTTTAAAGAATTTCTAATGAAATAATCATATGCTCATGCCGCTAAAGCTAAAAAATGAGTATTGGGGCTGTATCTTATTCGAGGAAATTTCTAAGCTAGTTTTACCGTTACACGACTAAGAGCTTCAAAGTATGTTGATTTTATGATACCTTGCCTTCTATTCGTAACTTTTACAATCTGGGATGAGAATTTGTTTAACAATAGCTTAATGAAATATTTAGTATAAAATTTCCTAATTATCTGCTTAGGTTATATATAGTGAAACAGTAGTTATAAACACATTTAAATTGGGATCAGCTGAAATAAGTACTTAAGGGTTTTTCTTTAAAGTGGGGGGGGATAAAGAGATTACATTCTCAAGTGTATACACTTGAGTAGACAAGGAAACTGTCTTTTAAATTTTTGTATTGAATATTTAATTACTATTGTCTAGGATTTTCCAACGAGTAACATTAATTTCTTAATGTTAATAAAAATTGAGTATAATTTTAGAATAGATAAGTACCTAACGAGAAACACTTTTGCATTTGTTTACAGGCAACATTTTTGCTGATTATAACTTGAATTCTAAAATATTGTGTAAAAACGGGATAACTTTCAATAAACCCTTTTTCAACTACTAGATACTTGGAACTAACGCCAATATTCCTCTAACCATAAAATATCGTAAGACTGTTAACGTTCAGCGCTTGATGTTTTAAAGAGTAATGTCTTAAACTTTCTCATCTCTGCAAGAATTTACTGATATTTCAACGTAACCGCGCTCTTAAAATTCAGGGATCCCAAATTTGTCATTTTATTTCTATAGTAAAATGGTTTTAAACTGCTCTTTATTCTTAACCTAGCAGAAATTTTTATTTTGAAGTAAAGTGCCTTTTAATACAGGCTTTTCTGGAGTTTGGAATTTGTTTTAACTTGTACAGACTTACGTGCGCTTAAAGAAGACACTGCCGCCTGCTTATCACACGTAAAATACGACTAGTAATTCTGTGATGGTCTCTTTAAAGCATAACCCCGCTTTAGAGCTAATCTGGTGAAACGCTTTCCTGTGAATATTTAACTAGCTCCATAGAGCTCTAAATGTCGATAAATCCTTTTACAAAAATGCTTAAATGATAGAATGTAATGAAATCTAAGTTTCCATTGTTCCGTTTATATTCGCATTTAAAATGAGTAATTACTTAACTTGTAATAAGTCTAAAATTTGAATTCCACGTGTGGGCTGAATCAAGTAAACTCAGCCTAATATATAAATTTCAATTTTTTAAGTCTTAAGGTATTCTTTCAGGTGGTTAAATGGAAGATCAGATTTCTACGAGAGGATTGTTTTCTTGGACTTGCCTTGCAGAGAACTTTTGCTGAATTTCGCATGTATAATTTTCTGTTAGACTGTTTGTTTTTATTGTTGAACAATAAATGCTATTGTTGCTAATGCTAATTTTAAATCTTTATTTGCGATAGCTACACATGGAATCTTAAGCTTCACAAATTGCTTTTGGTTTAATGAAATGTATAGTAGTAATTCTAAGATTCATTAAATGCAAGTGAGAGTAACACATGAATTGGTTAAAATAACGAAAACACCAACTTGCTACAAATCTCTTAATTTTTTTTCAAATAACTGTAAATTGCGCAACACTTGTATACGTCATTCCCAAAAATGCTCTCCTTAATTTCTTTCCAAATCATTATTGCATTAACTACGAAGTACTTCAAATCCCAAATTTGAAGTTGAACACAAATAACTATTTTAGAAAACCTCTTCTGAACAGGCTAGAAAGCAAGTTCAGCAATTAAAAGCGCTTATTTAACCAAAAAAAAAAACCCAATGAGATCTTTAACCTTTTTGTTTCCATTAACTTGAGCCTCTGTCCGGAACAAAAATATTTCATTATAAAGTGAATTTACGTTAACACATTAGGTTCGCAATTTAAGTATTTGTGTAAATCTGTGTTATAATCAAATTACGTGCTTAAAAGACGAAACTTCACCTCTGATGGAAACTGCAATTTCGGTATGGTAACTGTGTTCGAGAACTTGCCGTTCTCTTACAGAAGTTACTTCTGAAATCGATGAGACTTTAGAGCGTAAGATTAGAATTTCGAAACTTGATGTAACAAATCCTGTATTTAGAATTTAAGGTGGATTTAAAGTTAGGCGGAAAGAAACCTTACATCTGCGTAAACTTTGAATAATCTTGCAGTAGACATACGTTCCTCTTCAATAATAAAAAATTTTCTTGCGCTTGAAGGAAAGTCTAATCGCCGTCTAAATTGGGATTTATTCAAAATCCTAATTCAAAACTTTTATTTAATTTGATGCTGGCTTGTCATTTACCAATAGAAGCGTGTAAAATCGCTGAACACTGATTGGTGGGTCCGGGTTTGGAATCCTGGCGAACGGGCTGGATGCATGGGCCTTTTCGTGGTTTTTCCGATGTGTAATGTGCATACGAGTCAATTTCCCTGAAGTCCTCCAGGAAGGCATCTCTAATCTCAGATAGCCCTAATGTGCTTTGCCATAAAACAAAAAAAAAAAATTTAATTTGAATTCTCTCTCGATGCTTTCATCTCCACAATTTTTTTTTGGTATATAATCGTAGAGCTTCCTGGCAGTTTCTAGCATAAATCTAAATTTTAGCAAAAAAGCACTACATTCGGTCCAGACGTTTAGAAGGCAAAGATAACTTCCAAATTTCAGCTCCTTTTTGTACAGAAATTTGACAGTAAAAATTAATGAGTTAATAGTGATGTAAACTCCTCTGAAACAAATGCTGGCATTCAGTAGCATAAAATCATGTTACTCTTAAATCACTGGCGGGCCTTTTAACTAACAGTTGCCTTCACAGTCCAATCTTTTCTAGCATTTAGATTACCTGCAGAGGTATCAAGACAATTCGAATAAAGAAGGAAGTTTGCAATAATAGAAACTTCTAATGGCGTTAATGTTTAAGAACTACAATTTAAGTTCAAAATTCTATTTCTTATTTTGCCCTGCGATTTTAATAATGGTTCTTTTGTTTGGATGAAATTAAATTTATCTTTATAAACCATAGTTTTTGTTGCATTTATAATTTATTCGGGAAAATCGTTAAATTACTTCTTTTATATTAAACATTTCAGGATTCAAAGTTGCTAAAACTTTCGTACATGACCTATGAAATACCCACACTTCAAAGATTAGCTCTAGAAGTTAAAAAAATTGTAAATATTTTACCCTAAAGTGTCTCGCTTTTATCTAAGTACAGTTTAGAGTACTGGATTAGAGTACGTAGATACTGGCCAGTTTTCCTGAGAAGTACGCCCAGCAGCGGCTGAGCGATAAAGTCTCTGAACGCTGGTACTTCGGTCCGAGATTCGAATCCCGCGAACGGGCTGGCTGCATGGGCGTTTTCTTGGTTTTCTCCATGCGTAACATGTATACGAACCAGTTTCCCTTAGAACGTCCTGAACGAAGACATCCCTCTTCTTAGGCAGATAGCCCTCGAGACTTCGCCTTAATCGCATAAAACAAAACCCTGAGAAGTACTCCGCAAAGACCGAATTGGATTATCTATGAAAAAGCAGGTGAAGGCTAGCTGATTGAAAGAAGAGATGTCTTCATGAAAAATTTTGAAATTGTCTCCTATTCTTATTAACCATGCGGAAAACCGCGAAAACTCCCACACAGCCGTCCCAATGGATCCACAAAGGCATTTCTTCCTCTTAAGCATATAGCAGTCATGAGCTTAGTGATATTCATACAGTTTAAAAGGGCTTCCACTATCGTACCTATTATACTGAATATTTTTTGACTGGATTTAGCTTTTTATAAGTTATCATTTTCCTTTTTGTTGAAATCAGAAGATGAAACCAATATTCACTGGCTTGCTAATTCAAACTTAGATTTATTATATGTAGTAGAATAAATGCTAATGGAAGATACAAATTTAACTTAATTTACAAACCATTGCAATTGCATAATTTTCATTTTAATTTTGATTTTTTAAATGCCAGTATTATGCACTTAAGATATGAATCCACGTCTTAATTCTTTCACTGTTTTTACTTTGAAGAAAAAAAAATATTAGATGTGTTAGTAAACTCAATACTAAAATATATTACACGAATTATTAGTAGTCACTTTGGATAACAGTCCTAATTTAGATTGTAAAACAAAGCAGAGTAATGCATGAATACTCAAAAAATTCCTCACAAATGTAGATCATGTCCACAGAATTCCAGATACAATTTGCAATTTCGGTTGTTTCAGAATTTGAAGTTTCGTCTTTATTAACAACTTATAATGTTTGATTATGTAACTATAGCAAATACTTAATACATCTTCGAAACTTTCTGTAACTCATTAATCCCTTTGGCAAAAACTTCGTATGTTTTGCCATATTCAAATAATTCAATCGAATTATTTTCAGTTATCAACTTAATTTGCATTAATGCCACGGTAAGCAAACGTGGATTTAAATTCGCAAATGCGAGAAACAATTTTAATCTTGCTTTGTTTCTATACTTATTTGTTATAACACTGTATGAATTTCTTGATGAAACTTACGATAGAATTAGGAGAGGGATACTGTAATGACAATTAGGATCATCAAATCTTACCTAAATGGATTTCTTCAAGGTGCTATCAAAGAGATTTCTCATTAGGAATAACACGATTCGTTGTATAACATAAGCATGACAGACAAAACTGATGTCAAGAATTTTGAGATTTTTCTCATTATAAGAAAGTGCAAGTCAAACGATTTTTTACAGAAAGATTCATCGGCATCATTAAGTCTCCTTATACAAACGTCTGATTGCAGTTTGAAGAGCAGATAATCATCATTTGGAGCTAAATCTGGGCTGTTGAAAGACACGTAAATTTCCTTAAACCTGCATTGCTGCTTTAACAAAAACGGTTGAATGCACTTGAACATGATGATGAAGATGAACTCCGTGGTTCAGCATTCCATGCCCTTTCTCTTTAGTTGCATTGCGCAATGCATGCACAATATAGTTTTATATTCTCCATTAATAATTGCTTTTTTAAAGTCTGGTGAAAAATCCTTTGAAAGATTTGAAAATGGTGCAATTATCGTTTTCTATTATTGTTGCATTTTAGCCTTTCTTGGCGATACTTCACTGTTTATATCCAACTCCACTGATTCCCTCTTTGAAAGGAGCATGCAGGCGGGAAGCTAGTTTGAGACCACTGCTATTTCCACTCTAGGGTTGAAAAAGGAATAATAAAATTCGCTACAACGGCAAAAACTGAAACGTTTGTTCTTAGTTCAGAACTGATTTCAGAACATTTATAAATGGAACAGTATCAGAGACTAACATAGGTATTTTGATACAAAATGAGGCTTTTCCCTAAATGAACCTAAATTTCGAAATGTGAAAGGAAGAATCAAACAAGTTTAATAAAGAAAACGATATTAATAAATATATATATAATTCAATTAAAACTGAGGAGTTAGAATTTTAGAGCTAATTTCTTAAAAACTACTCGTGCGTGTTTTGCAAAACATGGCAGTTTGGTATAATTTGAGTCGTAGAATGGAAATATGGAAAAAAATTGGCATGTCATTTCAGAAATAGTCCGATTTTGTGTGAAAAAACCTATATTATAACAATGCTATATATAAATCTAATACATATCTTAAGTCGCGCTTTCAACACATGAAAAACGCAATTTGAATTTCGTCAATCGGTCTAGTAGAGCGAGAAATATAGAACTGTCTTTCTTTCGCAGTGTACACATTTAATATTCAATACATATTATAGTACTTACTTTGGAGTAATATACATTAGAAACCGCGATATTAGCCCAAGTTAATATAACTAAATGTAGCCTTGTAATGTTACATGTAGTAAATGTTACATTATACTATAATGTAAGACACTACAATACATAATATACTATAATCATTAATTTCTTCATTAAATCTTTAAGAATTGCATGTCATTCTTCTGAAAGTGTACTTTTCATATTCAGAAGAATCTAGGGAAGCATTTGGCACACTGTAATTCGGCGGCCTAAAGTACAGTTAGTCAATAAAGTCTGCGTACATCAAGAAAAGTAATATCAAATCCAAATTTTAAGGTGCGAAAAGAGTAGTTTCTTAAAGTTTTATTTTTTAAATATTTAGTTTCAATAAGGGACTTTGAAATTATTTAACTGTAATATTTTCATATCTAATAATTTATGCACACTAATTTTTAAAAGATAAGTGGCCAGAAATCAAAGCCAATAAAGTTTGCGTACAACGCGAAGGAGGCGGGGATTTCTTATCTAACTTTTAAACTTCAAATTTGAGAATGCAAAGAAGGTTACACTTTTAAGGTCATTGACTTCCGAAGCAAATTTCACGTTGATTGGAAGTTGCTATTTCTATTTTCTTTGACGAAAATGACAACCAATAAAGAAATTCCTTTAGTTACGAGACAACTAATT